TGACCTACTTCATCTTTCTCCCTCTCACTCTATATTTTGTTTCACTATTCCCTTGAAACTAGACCTATATCACCTTCTTGCATTCGATAAATCTGCTCTTATGGACTTAAAATGCCTCTAAATACTATTAGGGCCGTGATACGGCTACGTCTCCTAATTTTCTTCCTTACCACCACCTAGCTGGCCCTTACTAGTCTTAGTTCGGCTATTGTACGCTTTGCAGTCGTCCTAAGGGACTGCGCAAAATCCGACCTCGTCACCCCAAGCGACTCTATTTTAGACATCATATTCCAAAACCTCATAGATAACGTCGTCGAGGGCATAGTGATTGTGGCCCTTATCTCAGCCTTATTTTCCATCTTTGGGTTTATCCTTATGATCTACCCAAAGTGGCTATAAGAGAACTATAACGCTCGAGTTTACTACGGTTGCGTTTAAATTATCGTGAGCTTGGCCGTTCTCTCCCTAGGGGGTTATGTTGCTAGCCACGTCCACGGGTTTTAGACATCCTTCGAGTTTTTTAATAGTGAGGGCCACTTACCATACTATAAGATTATATATTATGGGGCCGTTAGCCAGGCCGCTTTTAGGTCTCTAGTGGTCATCTTGTCTCTTGTTCGTTTTGTCGTACGTGACTTATATAGTCTCTAGCTGAATACGCGCACTAAGCCGACAAAACAGTGAAAATGGCGGTCCGAAGTGCTCTAATAAGTAGGGCTGTGAAGGAACTAGCTAGCGAGCATTTCGAATGAATACTGTCGCAAATGGTCATAATGAATTTTCGATAGATAAGTGAAGAAGATGTGGAATTCGAAAATATTAGAGAAATACGACGGTCAAAGTCATTCAAAGGAATAGATTTACTCCAGAGTTACTAAAATAATTTAGCAATTGGATTTGATAATTGGAATTAAAGCGTGTTCATCTCTTGATCTAACTAGCGGCTCTATTGTGGCCGGTCATGGGGCAGTGCTCTAAGCGGCTTAATTTAAAAGACAGATAATAGTTGACCACCCTTTTGGTAAGTATTCACCAGCATTAGTGTTGTAAAGACTTTAAAAGCTGACCATAGAAATATGTGAGTGGCCCGGGAATCACAGAGCCCTAGGAAATCAAACGTACAGTAGCTTGTAGGTCTATCCATGCCCACTATCACTAGTCACGTTCCTATTGACAGCTCTATCAGTGCTAGGAACACTCATCATAGGCCTAGGAGCTCTCCTACTCCCAGAGGCTTGTGTGCGGTTTCGGGGAGCATATAAACAGCTTCTAGGAGCCGTGTAGCCTCCAGGAAACACGACGTAAATTCTGGGGTCCTGTACTTCCGCCTCGAGGAATCGAAAGTCCTGTTCCTGTTGACAGCTTCTCTAACTCCTAGGACCACAGCTTGGCCTTCTGGGAATAATTAAATGGCGTAGTGGTAAAACCCAAGCATCCATGAACCGTCACAAGCAGACTGTGTCGTTTCCCGAACGACAACTGTGTTTTGGCTCTATTTGTTTCCTCCGTATATATCTTTGGAGGAAACTAGCCACCCACAATGGGGTTGTTGTCGCGAGGGTTTGCGATGGAGATAAGAGATACCACGGTGTTAGTGTCTCTCTCAATGTCGTTCAGAGTGCCGCTAGGCTTGGTTAGGTTTGCTATCATGCGGTTTATCTGAAATAGCAATAATTGATTCATCCATCACGTGCAGCGTTTAATGCCCAGACACCCTCAGGGATTCAGGGAAACAGGAGGGAAGCAATTTCTGGCATGATATTTATCAGAATATGCAATATACCTTGCGAGTCGCACTTCTCTCAATTTGCAAGTTGTACTTGCGGCGAGACTACGGATCGACTCTTGTCTTATCATTCTTACCGTCTGAATCAATAGCAAAGGTTTAAAGGTCGCGGTTAATGATAATGTTCCTCGAACTTTTGTACACAGAAAAGGCTCCCTCGAGCACAAAGCGCTCAGAGGTGGAAATAGAGCTCGTGTTTTAGTTACTGCGTGTAAATACCAATATAGGTCCCACTAGCAGAAGTATTCCGGGAAACTTCTAACAAATGTTTGCGTGCTTTAGTACTTAGGGTCTGAGAAAGAGTACTGACAGTAGTTATGTACAGAAACCAGATAACTGTAATTTACGGTGACTTTTGTCGAAGGGCAAATCCGAGGCCTGCGGAAAGATACCCTAATGCAATCTAGCGCGGTCGGTATGGGTCTTGGGAAATACGGATACTCACCAAAATTGGATTTTCTCTGGTTTCAAAGGGACTATGCGCTGGGGGCAAAGTCGGTTTACTGGGTCAGGCGATCCGACTCAACTCGGATCGCTCTAGACAGAGATGTGACGGCGATCGAGACTGCCAATACGGTGTGGGTTGGAGTCGCCGTTCTTCCTCCCTCTGGCTGCGCTCTGCTGCGTCTCGGAGCCTTTGTTATTCTTCAAGCTGACATCGTAATTCAGCGATTGTTTCCTCGGTGCCTTGTTGAAAGAATTCAGCAGATAATCGAACGAAACAAATTGAAGTCAACAGAGTAGGGGGCCCAGCTGGTGCGGGGAATGGAATGTCATGGGAGGATGGGCGGCGTCGGGTTGTTTACCCCGCTTACTCACCCCTTAGCTCAGAGTCAATGTCGCAATTACCTTACGAATACTGCATGAAACCGGGTCTATAGATGATCCGTCGGCATAGCTTAGTAACTAGAATGGACCCATAAATAGTGGAAAATAGGGGTAATGAAATACAGAGTCATTTACACCTCCAATTGGCCGGATACAGTACAATTCGTGACAGTCAATTAGTGCCTCAGGCATTAACACACGTTAAACTTCCCGTCGGTTTCAGGCATTGTCTCAAAACATGCCCCGACTAGATGGTATCTAGATTTGCCTCGTCAGTACATAGATAAATTCGGTCCTCCTTCCAATCCTCAAAGTACAGTCACCGTAGCGAGACGACTATTGCAATTGCATCACTCGCGAGGCCCACTTCCGTCCAATAAAAGCCATTTGCTTCAAAGGATAACTGCGTTGTATGATCTCGCTGTGAGGAATGAACAACGAACCTAGTAGTCAGCAAAAGCTCTTTCCAAATAACTAGTTAGAGATAATAGGCTTACCTTCTCTCGTTGTCCGGCTGTTCTGCCTAACACGCTACTGTATGCTCTAGGCCTTGGGGGTTAGACATCATTGCAGTCTTTATCCAACGGACCTCATCGACAAGTATAAAGACGTACCTGCCCTATCCCTTGTCAGGAACAGGCTTGCTTGCTTAATGCTGATGGTCCTTAGTCGCCCGTAGGCGCAGTCTACCTACCGCTGAGATAGCGGTAGATAGGTTGACAAAGCCCCTTAGAAAAGTGATGTTCCGGAGATGGGTTTTACGGATAGGCCTAGTGCTCTACAAAACTACAACACTGCATTGATTTCTAGTTTACATACTAAAATTGGGGGGTTATTGATAGTTACAAAACTGGTTTTTTTCATGAAGGATTGGTGGTGAGGACTATGCTGACGACTATGGTACTAGTCGTTGGGGGTGTTGGAAGTTATGTGACTTCTCCTGTTTGCTCCTAGTACATGTAGTTCTAGCACTCAGTAGTTCTCTTCCTCTCCTTGCGCAGTTCAGAGATTTTACCAGCGTACTCAGTAGTCACTGGCCTCATCTCCAACAAGAGAACTAGGCAGCCGTGTTTGCCATTCTCAAGATCACGTCCTTGTCGCAGAACTCAACCACCTTCTTGACTTTGGACCCATCCTCGGTGAAGTATAAGAACCAAGCCAACTCGGCCTGGTACGAATCTCCGCTGATAGGGTGCACGTCTGCGATAGATGTAAAAGCGGCCCGACGGGACTCAGTATCGATGACTAAGTTCGCAAGGATGTTGTTCTTGAATTTCAGAACCTTGATATCCTTCGCAAAAGCCTCCTGGTACTTCGTCGTGTCGAAAAAGAAGTCTGCCGGTAGGCCAAAGGCCTGGGGCACGGATGCGGGAATCAGATGCCGGGTGCAGTCCGCCGTAACGTCGCGGTTGATGATGGAGGCATCGCCCTGGGATCCGCCCTCTTCGGATGCTGACAAGAAGGCTCGGGCTGTAGCCTCAATACGCTCTCTAAGGTTCGCCGAGGAAGGAGACATGATGAAGTGAGATGGAATTCTTTCGAAAGTCAGGTAGGAGTTGAAGACAGTGGTGTCGCAGAAAAAGAAAGCAGTGATTGCATATCATATTCCGCTTGTTGCCTATTTATGTTCTACGGGGAACGATATTATTACCATCCCATATTAAACTTCAGCTCCTGTCTTGGAGCCATAGTCCTTCCCGGCGATAGAAACGAATCCATAAGTTAACGCCGTCCTTCCGTCTTACTTTGAGTCATAGTCCTTCCCGGCGATAGAAATAAATCCGTAACTTAATGCCGTCCTTTGAATGATACAATCAATATGATCCATTTACCTCGCAGATCTATGACCTACCTTGATACCACTTTTCCCCTTTTCGGCCTAGTGTGTCTCTCACCAAAGTTGAACGATAGGTCCGTAGCTCCCGTGAATTTATCCTAGCTCCACTCGATAACATTAGCCTTACAGCTTAACTCTAGAACATGAAAAACTGATAATCAGGCTGGAACTCTGGAACTTACTATTTGTGGAGAGTGACTACCCTCAAAGGGGGGGAAAGTCATCCCAGCGAGTCATGGGTCAGTGATGGGAATGGCAAAGGACGAGGAAAGGGCACAAAATGATGTCATATCAGTTGATCTTAATCCGTGAACCATTCATGACCACGCACTTATTAAATGGCCTTTCCCTTTCGGGTTAATCATAACGTTATGGTGGCGGCTTGGCAATACTTGGCGATTAGTCTTGGCGTAAATACCCTAAATGTCACCATATTGAGAACTGTCTTAGGTACGGTCTTCTAAGAGGATAACTATAAAAGCGAGTTAGTGAGATCATAATATTTCTATCATCCCAGCTTCTTGTGTACTTTGGAGACATTGCCTAAACATGGCACCTGCCACATCTTCCCTCCGAGGAGTCGATCCTTCTGCTCCAGGCAACATCATCCGCGCCGCCCTTGCCTTAGAGTCCCTCGTCACAGTTGGTGCGGGTACCTACTTCATGTTCTTTCCACGCCACTATTTGCTTCACGCAATGGAAGCTGCTGCGGCTGAAGTCACGACAACAGCACTACAACTCGTTCAGCAATTTGGTGCTGTGAACATCCTCGTCGGTGCCACCGTTGGCCTCTTTACATCCAACGCCAAGAATGCGATTGACACCCGTCAGATACTATATTCCGTCATACTGGTCTTTGAGCTTCTGTATATCCCACTACTAATGTGGCAAACGTTCATGATGGAGGGCGGCATGCCAAGAAAATCGTCGTTGGCTTCAGCGTCGCAGTTTGTGCCTTGGGTGGTATGGAGAATTTTTACACTTGGTTGGAAGCCCGAGTGGTTTGGACGATATCAGGAGGGAAGAAAGATCGAGTAGGATAGTAATGGTTCTCGTATACTTCTGAGGGGACGAGACATGATGTTGCTGTTGCCGGGGTTGTGTTAAAGTGAATGAAATGAATAGAGATGTAGTAGAAGTGTGTATGTATTGATTGTTATCTTTTTCTATATGTACAGAGTTTTTCACTTATATATATGTTCTTCGGATCGGAGTATTATGACTCCAAGGGTATCCATGCTGTGACACCCTCGTCATACGGACAAACGTAACCGTTGCTGCAAAGAAAGCAGGTGATGTACACGCCTAACCTGCACCCGGCTTAAAGACTTCTCGCGTCTCTTATGGACCTGCTTCATAGGATGATATCCCTTAGGAAGGGATCGCAGGAGCGGAGCTCGGGCAGGGATATATCTATGATTGATCAGATATTCGATTACATAGACTTGTCTCTGTCGTATCGACCGCATCATTGACTCTGAAGTCCGTAAAAGTCTTTATTGCTAGCCATGGCGAGCCTACGCTTATCGCCAGCTATATTTAGTGACTATATGTGCAAAACTCGACCCTGGCAATACTTAATGTAGTACACCACCGAATAACGAAATTATGACGTCCCATCTCTTTTCATGAAGCTCTACTGTGCAGAGTCCGCTGGCTGACGCAAAAAGTATTGCTCCTCCTGGGGAGCTGTTCGAATAATTTCTTCCAATGGCGCGATAGGCCGCAGAGCCCTGACCGAGACCCTCTACAACCGCCTGTGAGTAATTTAGCCAGAGTCTTTCGTCGGGACCTCCACTTTGCTCGAACTCCTGGGAAAAGCGAATCATTCTGGAAAATACTCCTAGAAAGTCGCCTTCACTGAAATGAGAGGACGTACAGGAAGGAATCTATCATCCCTCGGTGTAAGAAACATAATATAGACTTATCTCTTTCGTTTTGTAAAAGTGATCTGTCGCTGAATGCAACTCCAGGTTGCCGGTGGGGACCGCTGTAACCCCGTCGGTCAGCTTGAAGCTTGAAGCTTGAAGCTACATTCTTCATCAACAGAGAACCATGCATTGTTGGCATCGTTCCATGAGCTCTCTAGAATATTCGGCCACGGGGCAGATGTTGAAAGTATGATCGTAATTCCAGTAAGCGCAGCTCGTCTAGCTTTGACCAATGGCTGTGCTTGCTCGTGGGCGAACGTCCCTGCACGGCCTCGTTTGAATCTCCCATCTAAAGTTTGACAGCTCATGTCAGGTTTTCAGCCATTCTGTACTCCCTTGCCTCGATATCTAACCTTCCAACTCCTCTTCCAATAAACCGGAATCTCCACAAATAACGCCTCAAAAAAATGGCACCGGTTATGATGGCTTTACTACCGGTGTTCTTGTTATGGCATTGAAAGCTGCAATTTGGGGGCCCCTCTTATGTACCTTAGTCGGTTTGAATTAGAGATGATCTCAGAATCCAGTGCCCACCACCAGTCTTTGAAGATAGCCTGTCCGATTTCCCAGCTCTCTCCACCATATCCATGTCCATTTATATCTAATGCAATGCGGAGTCCCTCCGACTCGTCATCAAGACCATGCATTAGCCGCATAATAGCCATGGAGCCTCTCGCGATTGGCGGTCTAAGCTGATCAGGCTGACTGAAAAGACAAATGAGTCTTGTCCTTACCGATGGCCATGGAAGAACGTCTATTACTGGATGGTGTGGCAATAAGAGCTGTGCTTCCGTTGGACGTAAGTTTTCGGGTAAGTCTCCCAAGGGGACTGAAATTTTCGACATGTCGAGGACCCGGCTTTTAGTGAGGTCTAACCACTCGTCCGAAAGTCCAAGTATTTGTGCAATTCGAAGTGAGACCTCCATGGTCTTGAGAGTTGGAATATCAATTGCATGCTCCGATGGGAATGTGAACTGGGAAGTTTCAAGATCTTGAAGTTCTGCTGATAATTGGGTATCAGACGTTGATGTAGCGCTTTGAGAAGTACTGCCTACAGACCAATCCAGTAAGCTTAACTTCAGCAGGGGTTGGGACCTTAGAATTGCCAGGGCATACCATGAGGCAGAATGGTGTTAATTCCGAACTGATTCCTCACATACGAGGGCGAAGTTTCTGACATGTTACACGCCGACTCATACGGCACAAGGCACGCGTTAGAAGCTCCAATCATGAAATCTGGATAAAGATCATAGATAGGGTCAATGGACGTAAGCGGAGGCTGCATTGGTTGCTGAAGTTGTATCTCCCCATTGGAAGCGTACATTGTGTCCGTACCGCCCAGTCTGGCGTCAAATCTCGTTTCCAGAGATTGCAACCGCTCCCGCTTACGCTGACCTAAATAGAGTGAGTATGAGATGGGAAGCGATAAGCATGGATTCTTACGGTATCTCCGCTGGGCGAGCACATTGAGAATTCGCTGACGGTCGGGGCCATGCGGAACAGAGATTTGTTGGGATGACATTGTGCTTCTCATCATGTCAAATCTGCGAACGCGGAATTCAAGGGAGTGCGTGATGATGATATGAAACGGTGAAACGGCTAGAATTTAGACATTGACCACGTACTTATTGAATGGCCCCTTTCGGGTTACGTATAAAGTCATGGCAACGGATACTTTGTGGGCCGTCTCGATTTTAGACTCAGCCAAGTTAATTGTATTTGTCATACAAGTCACGGGGGCATAACGTGCCACACGTGCAGGATTTTCCATTGGTTTGCGATCCTCCGGAGGGTGACCCAAAAGAATTTCTTCCTCGAAACAGGCTTTGGAGCGACCACGGCCGGCAACGACACCGTTGAGTAACTCCATGCCATATCGGACGAGACGCGGTTAATGTTCACATTCCTCGTAATTATATTGAGAACTAACACTTTGGCGGGGGCCCTCACAAAAAGCGTGGCAGCTCCTAGGATCAGTTCGGCCGATTCCAACATAAATTACATTAACTATGTCGTAGATGGGAACAGGAGTCGCAGCTTCGGAACTAGATTGCGAACAGGTCTCGCCAACCCATGGGTGTTGGAAGCCATGGAAGGGCGGCGCCATCCTGGCCAATAGGCTGTAGCCCTCCTGGGCACAGCCAGGAAGTGTTGGTGTTCTGTGCGTACTACGTCTAGCCCGTAATCTAGAAATTGTCTTAACCAATACACGTCCGGCAATTGTTTCCTAGCCCCACCGCCAAGGCCTTAGCGCGACTCACTCGCGTCGCATCCAATGGAGTAGCTCTTACGGGGCCAAAGAACAACGTCAAGCGTGTATTGGTCAAGGCGACTACGAGATTGCGGGCTAGACGCTGTAATATAAGTAGTACGTACGCTCCTTTGTATATCCTAACAAAATTTCCTGCATATCATCTATCAACTGAAAGAACTGATGTTCATATCGGCTTAGCGCATGCAAACATCCCTCAAAACTGCTACACCGTATACTCTCTGCAAGCCTGGCCACGATTGCCCCACCGCATCCAAACATGAAGCCAAAGGCATGGGTATACAGATTCCCAATACCCCAACGATATCGTAACGTCATCGGGTCTATCTTCGAGTTGGTTATGACGGAGAGCGAGTATTACGAACTAGCCGACCCCTTGTTGAGTGGACTCACCGCCCCGGAAATCTCTTTGATAGCGCACCTGCTCGGAGTCACAGAACAATTCCTCTACGCCAGCAGATATCTGAATCCGCTCAGGGAGCAGGACCCTTTCATGGTCTACTTTGAGCCACTAATCAAGAAGGGACTGCAAGTCTTAATTCTTGGTAACGATATTCTGGATTTAATGGAGAGAATCCAGCGTCCGGCAACGTACTGGGGCAGTCGAATTG